GATCAAAATGTTAACTTGAATTCACTATGGAGTTCAATAGATTCTCTAAGATAAGTATTGGAACAAGTTGTTCAAGACATCATGACACCAGAGTTAATTTTTTAAAGACAATATAGTACAACAATAGTTCGTAAGAATGATGAAAACATTTATTTTAGAAATATATTTTACAAAGCAATGTAGTGAGAAATGTGTGTAAGAAGCTATGAAGCTAAACGATGCTCCCTAGAGGCGAGGTCATAGATGCCCCTTTGCTAAGGAGTCCCTTACTCGGACTAAATATCTGTCCGATGCTCCTAGGTTGTCAATGATTGCCTAACGTAGATCAGTTCGTGATCTTAATAAAACTCAGGAATCTTCACAACCCCAAATGCTGATAAATATTAAGATAGTTTGTAAGATAATTTTTAACAATCGCTTGAATTACCTTGTCTTTAACATTAAAAATACTCTCGACTATCTTTTTAAAACTTAGTACTTATCAATTACATTTAAATATTATCTTTCTAGTAGATGAATTTATTAAGAGACTAATGTATTTTCCCTACTAGTGGCCACATTGAAGTTTAATCAATAAAATTGGATCGATGCTAAAGGACTAAGCAAACACGACATTGGTCACTACTCAATCATTAATCACCTGTAATTATCTCAGTCGTACAGGAAGTTAGTCGCCGCCTAAATCGCTCATTGGTAGAATCTCAAGTTATCAAGCTAAGTGATACCGGTTCAAATGGCACAGTGTCATGGGAGGAAATTTTTTTACCAATAACTGAAAAGATGAAAGATTTGATTGTCAAAATAAATGAATAGAATGCTAATTAATGGATTATATAAAGTGTGACTGAGTAATGGCTGCTCACGAGAGTGCATTATTGAGGCAAGTCCGGGAATGATTGGTAACCCAAGGCAAGATCACTTACCAGATGAATGGGTATATATATATATAATATTAATACAAAATAAACATTATAAAGTGTCATCAGCGACTGGACGAAATGTTATTGCTAAGCCTAAATCTTGAATATTGTACCGCACAGTTTCTTTAGGAATTCAGGTAAGCTTTGCTAACAAGTGCCAACTGATATAAAACCTAAGGCTAGGTATTTTATGATTTTCCACCTCCAGTTAACTAACGTATTTCCCCTCTGATATGAAGAGTTTTGAGAATTGTTAAATAAACGAGTTCCAGTTGTAATTCACTTATTATTTTATTGAGAAGAGAAATATGTACTACATTGTTATGTAATAAACTTGCTTATAGGATACAGCTTTAAAATAGTTGGATCAGGCAATATTCATTAGGTGAGTACTAGTTGGGACTCTCCAAGGAGTCACATACCATTTACACTGCTTTACTTGTAAATATTAAGGGGAACAAAATTTACTTTCACACACTCAATTCGTTTAACATCTTTTTATTTCTTCTATTAACAGCTGGATTGTTGAAGTCAGTCTCTACAGATCGTTCCTTTGAGCGTTACAAACTAGGATCTCTCAGGTGGATTAAGATATATTTTACACAGGATTATTTTAAGTAGAAGTACCATTGTAGATCGTAAATCTGAAGCCGGCTGGTCTGTCATTTGCACCTGGTGAAATGAAAGTTCACCGTCATTTCAACAGAAACTCTAAACTTCACTGAAAAGATCCTTTGTTTGAACATTATTTATCATAATTATCATAGTACATATGTTATAAACAACCACATCAATAAATTGGCCCAAGTATGGATGCATCATCGGTGTATAAAATAAAGGTCGTTATGAGGCCTGTTTTAAGCTGATTCCCGAATTCCATATACTATGACAATCAATTGAATAAGAAAAAGAGAATTTAGCGAAGAAAATTTTCTTTCCGACGAAATCATTTAAGCTGTACATTCGTATATATAGTTATATGGAAAATGTATGTTTATAGGAGGATAGAAGAAAATTGCATCACCAAAATGAATTCGAGGATAAATAACAAACGAGGTTACGTACTAGTCAAGGAGTAAGGAAGAAAATCTTTTATGGGTCAGATAATAGTTCAGTTGACACATATGAAGAAAAGCGACAAACACAAAGGTCATAATAATAGACTGAATAATAATCAAGAAAACTTGTGTAAAGTAATAACAATAACTGCACGCAAAGTTCAGGCTTGAGTTGATGGACTGCCAATGCCTCGGCAGTGTATAAAATATTGATTTGACCCCCCCTTCGATCCAGTTCCTTTGACTTCGTAGATTACTTTAAAATAAGAGTGGATTTCTCGGTGGCATTTGGAACGAATGGTAGTGGGTTCGAGTCCCAGAATGAATATTAACTCCGGGTTGCAAGTAAACCCAGCTAACGAGTCCCAAACAGGACGAAACGCAAGTCCTGGGTCCCACTGCTAGCCACCATTCATCTTTGCTTATAATCACTCTTATTGTTAATGAAACACTAAGTGACATTGAATCTTGCCAACTTCTATATTTTCTATGCTACTCATAAGTAGTAAGGATAATAAAATCAAATATTTTAGACCAGATGGTCTTCTGTTCATAAGATTTGATGCCAGAATTAGTAATATCAACATAACATACATTTTCCTGATCCTCATTCCATTGTGACTGAAAGAACATCAAAGAACTGGCAGCTTCCGAAACTATTTTATGGACTATCATTTTATATATTCTTATTGCATTATGTATAAATAACTGGAATACCATGTTTCTTTATTCCATTTATTGTAAGCTTCCGTTTAATTCATTAGCAATTATCTTATTATTCTTAATTTGTTGTTAATCATCTACTCGCGATTTGACCTATTCAGTGCCACCTTTTGCTTATGCATGAATTGTGATTTTTATATAATGGTATGATGCCTGTACATCAAAGCACGTGCGCTTGATACATTTTAGAGAACATGATAAATTTTTTTGTTTTAAGTAATCTTGCCGTCGAAATTAATATTATAAGATGTAGACTGACTCTGATAATCATTAATACAATAGCAGAAATACTGAAGAACTGACCGTCTAGACCACTGTAAATGACATTTTATAAAGCTGAACTCCGAATTGTTTTATCCGGTAAGAACCTCATTTAAGGAAATGTTACCCGCTATTGTAGATCAAGTTACATTTCTTATACAAAGCGTATACTTGCTAAACAAATATCCAAGCACTTCTCTGCACGGCTATCTAAAGGGGAATATAAGTTAATGAAAAGTTCAGTCCCTGAACATATGGTTCATCCTAATCACTTGTTATCACAAGAATGATTGTTCAAGATCATCGACAAAATCAAAAGAACTGATTTAAAGAAAGTTTGAATTAACATTTTGTACACAGTTAGACTATATCAACTCACCACTTCAAACCAGATCTCTGTGTATAAAAGGATTATGTTCTGTTCTTTATTTTTTTATGGTTCAAGAAACTCTTTTGATTTTTACAAATCATAAGTTTCATTCATTATCTTCTTTTTCACTTTCCTCTTCTTTGTGAACTAAATATTTGTCTTTCGAATTTGTCCTCTAAGTTATTATTCCATACATTCTGATTCTTTGGTAAATTTACATAATCTATTTATTGTATTTTATAATTTGAAATAAAGCAAGTCTTATTGACATTCACTGCTGACGTTAAGTTGAATTTAAGTCAACTAATCGGTTTAATTATCATTCATGTATCAGAGATGCATTTTATTCAATGTCTCTATATAATTAAATAGAATATGGCTAACAGTGTAATTCAGAACTCGTCAATTGAGTGTAACCTAGTCTCAGACTTGGTGTTCAGTTCAAGATTCTAATCAATTGTTCAAGCACTCAACGTCTTATCTATTTGGTCACAGAGTCTGGATAGAAACACAATTATGCAACGGGTATGAGTCTTAATTTAGTATGCAGTGGTTTAAATGATCTCTTTATTGGTATTTTGATGGAATTCTGATAAGTCTTAGTCCCCATATGTGCATCTTATGTGGAGTGCTTCGATCTTACCGTCATAACATAGGTTTTATGGAACAGATAGAAAGTTGCTTACAGTGGAATCTAGGACGCCCGCTTCATCCTTAGTCATTTATAAATTCTCTTCCTTCTCTATATGACTTCATCTTCACCATATAAACACTATTATACTAAATATGTTATTTGCTCTTCTTGTTTTTTTGTGTCATTTCGAACCAAACTTCAGTCAGTGATAAGCAGCACTGAAATATAACAAAATCATTTTATTCTGCAAATTTTGTTTTTCTAACGTTATCTCTCATTACTACATTGTTTAAACTAGTTTTTAATATTACTAAACAGTTCCGAAATTAAAATAAAACAACCCTCATGAATCCAACCAATTCTCCAACTGATGTCAGTATGTGATAAAAATTAACTTCAGATCGAATACCATATATGATAAATATTATTGCTAACTTTCATAATATGATCAATATTAATAAAGCGAGATTTGTGGAGATTCTTCAATTTTTATAGTCTAACTCATGAACTGATTTTAGTTAGACTATTATTGGAAACTTGAAAGCACTAAACAGCCGTTTTGTCAACAACTGAAATTTCGTGAAATTTCAGTGAAGATTACTTTAACCAAGTTACTTCTACTCACTATCAGTAAGTATAGTATTTGTACTAAATGATTATTCCTTTGTGCTTGATTTAGTGCTTATTACGAATTCCAAATATAATACATTCATTTAAGCTCATCTCTTTGTACCTGATTTAAATAAGACTATTTCGGAAATTCTTAGTCAGCACATTCATTCAAATCTCGCGAGGCGGGATCATAGATGCGCACTGCTGAGAAGTTCTACAATAGGACGAAGCGGCCATCCAGTGTTTCTAGGTTTTCAATAATGGTCTAGCTTCAATTGACTTATGATCTCAACTATTGAAATTACTTTTAATTATCATTCGAAATCAATTATAATTTGATATAATTCATATATTTGTACATAAAATTTATTATTATTTTTTTAAAAGATACTATACAATACCAATACAATTTCAAGAACAATTTAACGACCCATAAGAAAACGTTCAATAAACTCTGTTTGTTCAGCTTCTTCTTTTTGTAATGATTGTAATTGAATATTCAATCTAATAATAGGTTTCCGTATTTTTTCCCCGAAAATAAAAGAAAAAGAAAGGTAAATTTATAGTATCCAATGAATTGGAAAAGTAAAATAAAAGCAAAATTGGCTCATAACATAGCGGAAGGTTGAATAATAGATAATTAATGGTCATAGTATAGGAGGTTTATTGAGGTTGTTGAATTGTATAGTCTACTTCACGAACTGATTTCATATTAAGATGAAACGATTATCCAGTTTATCTTGGTTTCCAATGGTTATCTAAGGGCTTGATCTTAATGTACATCTTAAATTTCACAAATCTTCACAGACTTCTCATGTTAATAATAATAATAATACATGCATCAGTTACTAGCTTTGAGAGGTAATTTCTAAAGTCGTTTTGGGAGATTGTGACCAGTAGAGTCCAGAATTGTCGATTGTAAGATAGTTATCTACCAACGACGAAAAAAATTGCGATACTATATCCCGAATCGATTGGATATCGACTGAGAGATTTAAATATCAAGCGCTCTCTGTGAGGCTTATATGTTCTGGGTTCGATTTCCAGTTAGATCGGTAATATGCACTTCTGGGAAGTCGCATACTCGGACGAAACATTTATCCAGTGTTTGCTGGTTCTCAATGGTTACTAAACTAACGTTAGCCTGTGATGTGGGCCATAGAATAACTAATCTAAAATGTGAAGTAAAAATAGTCTAGTAAAAACAATTTACAATCGTATAGTTTAGTTTCAATGATTTATTCTATTCCATTTCAATTTATTATTTTTCTCTAATATGTTTAATTTGCTTGTATTTAACGTATGATAAATTGACAATATACAATCATATGAATAAATACACGCTGTTTTATATTCAAATGGGACACTAAATGTCAAGTTGTAATAGATAAATTTTCATAGTTATTTTTATTATTTCATTTTTTCAATATTCCTTGAAATATTAAACGAATGATTGTGACTCGTTCAATGGTTTTCTAGAAATCTATACTTATTATTGCTAGAGTAAGTTACTTATTTCATGTATGAAGTGCAAATTAGTGCATTTAACTTTGAAATAAACCAAAAGTGTGTGGATTAGTGATGTAACTGAGTTGTGCAAGTCAAAGTAAATGGGGGGGGGGCTATCAAATATATCACAAAGTTAATAAGTTCCATTAATAATTTAATTGAGTTGATATAGTAGATAAAAAACTTGTTATTATCCGATGATCGGTACAATCCTTGCCATCATAGATCTAAATATAGTAAGCATTCGTTTAGCTTTAATGAAATGTCGTTCTTATTGATGTGACAAAACGAAGAGTGAATAAATGGTAACTTTCGAAACTGTTTTATGGAGTCTTACTGTGTATATTCTTGCCAAATAATTACACAATAACTGGAATATTGTTTCTATTTTCCGTTTACTACAAGATTCCATTTGGAAAACTAACTACTATTACTACAGGTATTATTATTCCTAATTTATGGCTAGTCAGTTATTCACAACATTTCTGGTTTCACTTCCACTATCAGCATGTCTGTGTATCATCATAGTTTTCTACTTTATGATATCATGCAGTGCGGTATGTTTGTTCATAAACCTAAGTACGCTTGTAATATAATAGTAGGTTTGCGCTGTCTCTTACTTTATGATTGATAATTGGGAACAGAAGAAGGCGTGGGTATCGGAGGATCAGTAGGACTTAAGCTTACATTAGTTCAAGTTTTGTCGGGTCGGTTGGATTGTATCACTAGTCAAGGCTAAGAACTCTAGAACATAGAAGGAATAGGTTACGATTGTAGTTATGATTGGTGGATCAAACAAGTGGGGTCGATTGATGTCTCAGACATAACACTTATAACAATATTTTCCTTTACATTGTTCTGATCAAGACTACATATAATAGCACAAATATTAATTTGCAAACAAACAGTTACAAAATCAAAGATAATTTGGGTGTCATATAGTAGAGATCCTTAGAACAGTGTTTCATATCGTTTTGCTCTTTTCATCACAATGTATTTGCAATCTTGACAGAACTGATGCTCACCGTGGAATGCATCACCCAATCTCAATTGCTTCCTATTTACCACCTCAAACTAACTAATATCAGAAAAAAATAAAGCACGCGATATCGATTAATTCACAGTAATGACTATATTCCAACTTGATGAATAAAATTCAACTAACAGTAAGGACTGGACAAGAATGTTATTAGCTTTCACCCGGTAATCAATGAATGAAAATCTAAAATTACACTATTTTTTACAAATTATACGAATTAGAATTGCACGCAGTGGGGTGGTTGAAACGACCAAGAGATATAATAGTTCAGATTATCCCGTTTTTAATATTGACTTAATTCTGATCAGTCTTAATCGATATATGTGCATTCTGCGCAGATCGCACATATCTAGCCATGATATCATAATTTTTATAGAATGAATATGATGTGGCTAACATTGGGATTCAAGACGCAGGTTTTGTCGTAAAACTGATCAAAACTCAGTAAAAATATCACCAACGGGAAAATTCAAACCACTAAAATTTAGTTAAAATTCATATCTGTTGCATGAGTGACTAGGTATCTGGACTCAAGGCTAAGTGGATAACATGACTGGTGTTTGAAGTAAAGCGTAGTGAGTTTAAAAACCGGAGTGAACATCAACTCTGAGATGCAAGTGTGAATAATAATGCAATTGTGGTTACATGCACCTAACTGGTTACAAATAGAAAAAAACGGTCATCCGAGATTCCATTGGTATCCACAATCTAAGTATAATAAGAATAACTCACCTATCTATATCTTTCTTTTTGGCCAATATCTGGGATTCCAAGTGTTTTTGTTGTAAGTCTCTTTGCTTTTCCATAGAGGTAAGTAGGTTTCTTGAACCAATCGCCTAAATAAATGTGTATGTTAATAGTTATTTTTTATTAAAACCAACTTTTAGCTTTTGTGATTCAACTTTTTCAGCTACAGAGCTGATCAGGTTGAAAAGTTCTCCAATAATCACCTTAAAGTCGTTCATTTCTACGAAAGAAAGAAATTCAACATGAAGTAAGAGTTCAGCATTGAGAACACTAAAATAATTTTATTCTATATTATCATCTATCAGTACTGAACTTGAGATTGAAGTAAGGAACAAGTGGAAATATAAAAGGAGTTTTGGAGTTGGTTTTCATCAAAGACGAATGTTACCTTTGAAAATATTACGGACTATAAAAAAACCGGAAATACGCTTTGTTCCAGGTTTAAACTTATTAGCGTTGCGCTTGAATCATACAGCGAATGTAACTCAGGACATATATGTTTCGTGGCTGGTATTACACAATTAGCCTTAGCTGATTCACATTATTATCCAATAATCGTGCATTATTGTCAATGATATCAGTCTTACTGTCAATATATTGATCATGAATTGCAATCATAAATCCAAAATTCCATCTCATATCTTCTCACTAGTAACCACATAGTCAATAACGCATTAGGGGATTGTGGATGCTTTTTGGGTTTTAACATTAATGAAGTAGGTATTGTCGAAGAGTTTCAGAAAAGAAACAAATGTTTATAATTCTTAAGTTTCCAAAATGCTCTTGGGGTGATATTAGTCTGTTAAGAGAACGTGGTTACAAACTAAATAACCCTTATCTCAAAACAAACATACTGGTGTTAAATACTAGATCGTTAAAATACTTTCTAATTTCAAGTTTTCATAGGGCTTACAAACAATGAATAATCAACATACATTTTGACTGACTTTGAAGCTGCTTTTAGAATAAGTTTACTCCAGTGAATATAGTGATATCGTATATGGTATTAGGTGTATACATGAAGTTGATTTGTCTTTTGGCAAGGAATTGTACAGATTGAACACTGACAAATCAACCGTTATCTATATCTTCATAAAGTCGATTGCAATACTATAAAATAAGTGCTGTCATCGTAACCTTTACATTTTAAATTGTTCTGGTTTTGACACAATCTTAAAACCGTGGCAATATATATATATATATATATATATATATATATATATAAAGTTCCGAAACATAATACATGTTTCTAAAATGTTAGTGACTGAAAAGGCAATTCCAAAAATATTCTGAATGAAATAAAAATTTATCAGACACAAACACATTTCATAGAGTGTTTTTCTCGACAAATGTAGCTTACAACTAAATATAGACCTTAAAAGAATATCAAATGCATTTTTCTACGAACATAAAAACTTTATTTGAAACAATATTTGGTTAAACCAAGATTAAATGGAGGCTGATATATGGGGAACAATTAGGATTTTGAATTCAAGACCTTGCCTTTCTATATTTTTGAGATGAAAAACGTTTTTCTGTGATTTGGCAACACATGATGAAAGATCTTCATATCATTGTCAATACGAAACAACTCAAATGAAGTTGGTATAACCCTGAACTAATTAACGAAACTTTATAAAACGTCTATAAAAATTCCAAAACACAAATTATTTGTTTATACTTATTTGTAATACAGATTCAAAACTTTGAACCAAATTTGATCTTTAAATATAGAGGTTTTCAACAACAAAATAAGTACATCTATGCAATCAAAGAGAACGTACTTTACTCATTGTTGGGTATTCGTTTAAAAGCTTGAATCTGTCACTGGCACACGTTCATCAAACGCTTGATAAAATGTCATAATAGTTTAATTTTTAGGAATACTTTTACCATTTTCTTAAAACCGTAATTTCACATATCTAATTGACCGAGCCATCCTGAGGAAAATAGATATTAGCATTTAGGGAACTTGGTGATATTTCAAGAACGTTTTATTGGTATAAGAGTAGCGGTATAACATTGGAGATCCCAACTTGCCTATAGATGTCACTCGTTATTATCAGTAATTAACCCGCCTGATATCTCGAAATTTTCTCACAAGACTATAAAAATGGGGGTAATTTTTTGAAAATAATAACTACTTTCCGCGTAGTAACCTATACCATACATTTTGGTACTACTATGACAGAAAATAAAACTGAAAAATAAATGATCCCGATGGTTTGTTACAATTGAAAGCAGCATCGTTTGTTTTATTTAACTAAAGTACTTAAAAATTAAAGGTCCATCATCAACACTAATTAGTATGCTGTAACGCATATTTCTCTGTTGAAATATTAGTTTTATCTGTTCACCTGAGCGATTTTGTATTGAAGCCGTTGTATGGATTACCCCAGATCTTTTTGAAGCCAATGCTAACGACGCATCTACCAATGTAAAGATATATGCATTCAAGAATATGAAGGAAAGACCAGGGTACAAGTTTTAAGATCAGGTGAATGACTTTCAGTGTCTTAAATAATAAATAGAAACCGTTGCTTTTTACGTTACTATTGTACCAGATCATAGTATTCTGATCCGATTCCTCCTGCATTTGAAGCCATAATATTGTTTGGTAGCGATAAAAGGACAAAAAAGACTTTCCAAGCTCCCAATTTCGGGGAGGCCGCTATAGTAAACTTTGATGAAATGGCATCAAAACCTCGAAATTTCCCCGAACCTGGGGAAATTCCCCAATATTTCCCTTTAACCTTAGTGAAGCCTATTTGACTATGGAGTTTTCCCAAAATACCCCGAAATTTCCGCAAATTTGGGAGATTGTGTTCCTATCACCATCATGAGCAATATGAGTGAAGAAACGTCCCCTATAGTGCATTTCGGTTTCACATACTAATTAATGAAAAAATAAGTTAAATTATAATGATTAGAGTTTGACAGAATTAGTACAGTTCATACTTGAAAGATACTTTTCACATTCTTCCTTAAGTTCGCTTGTTTCTTGTGAGACTCTAGGATCAACTATTCGAAGTTTATAAAAATCGTCAATATATAATCCAGCTTGAGCTAACGATTCAGCCATTGAATGTATAATGTTCAACTCAGTCGGATCGTTAGAATAGCTCCAGAAGTATATCTTTTTATGAGATACAAACACGTGGCGGTTCGCTCCTACCCTGAGAGTACGTTGTGAGCTGAGGGAACGTGAAGAATAACGTGTGTACAGAAATCTGAAAAGACGAGAAAATTTTTTGTGAAGATGCGATAGGCACATATGATCTACTTACGTTAAATAATAACAGCAACCTACAACAATTAGCAGCAAGACTGGAGTGAGGTTAAGGCAATCTAGTAGTTGTGGAGTACAATTTCAAACACGTTGTATGTATTTGCCATCTGTAACTATGCCGACCAACTATTCAATTCTTAGTTTTCCAATGTACAATACTCAATATATCCACTATCTGTATAAGGAAGTAGTATAAGTCAACTGGTTTTCACCTTCATGTTTTGACGTTACGGCATGATTGAGGATCTTCGTGGTCGTACGATATAAATAGCTTAGACACTTGGACAAATTCCTTCGTGAAGTGCAACGTTGGATTGTAAGATGTTTTATTTTAATAACTTTGAATAATCGGCATCTCGCATTTCGTTAATACATTATCCCATACTTTCCTGAACTATAGAGATTACGATCCCGGATGATGGAAGTAGTGTATTTAGGATTTGTTCTCTACTCTGATACTCAATTTATTCCATGCACCCGTACCTACTCTAAAAGATTCATACTCCCTTTATTTAAATATGATCCAGTTATGTTGCGAGTTTCGAGATTGCAACTAGCATGAATCTTATTCGGCAGACTACGCAACCAACAGGATAGTACAGGTGAAGAGCCTTCGGTGGACTTGAAGACTGAGGTTCGGATTTCTTTGATTTGATCATTGGATTTCTATTAAACACAAGGCACAGGCAGCACAACCACAAGGATGAGTGAATAAACACAAAACAACAGTTATGCTGTGTTATTATAGTGTTGGAACGTCAGTAGTCCTAGTTACAATACAAATTGCATTTTAATTGAGTCCCTGGTCATAACTAATGAAGAATATGTGATACGGTCATCATTTGTCTCTTCCTCTCCCAGCAGTAGAGTACTGAGTTTAAAATCAGTCGTTCTGTTTTCATTTAGTTGGTTACGTGTGTACCTGGAAACGGAAATCTGCATGAATGTATGACCATTGTTGTCCGATGCGGGGCCCTCATTCAGTGTTTGAATCATGTGACTGGTACTATGTTCAGATATGATTTTCGAAAAATTGGTTCTGAGTTTTAAACGAAGATATGGAGCCTATGGAACCGCCTTTATCTCATGTTGTAGGAATCGGTAGGAGCACTAGTGATGTGCATCTTGTTTAATGAACAGAACGGCGTAAAACGATGTTTATAAAAGGATTAGTGAACATAGATTACACACGACTAAGGCCTCAGAAAAATTTAGGACGATGACCCTATCTACAAATGTTTCAACAAGCGACTTCCTGATGGTTAGAGAAGCAGTTTCGCAAGTCCTTTGCTTGTAAGTGTTATAGCAAATGGATGCAAGAGTCTCTGAAACTACCAAGGGATTCACTTACGAGTCAACTAAACCTACCACATAATGATTTACTCTTGACATGATAATTGCTAAAAAGTTCGCAATTTCACTTGATATGCAGGCATGGGAAACAAAATAGTTGTTTATGCTACAGTTGAATATTGGGTAGCCGGTAAAGCTTTAGTTGTTAGCTAGTAACAGAGGTCATCTCAAACTAAAAGAGCTCTCATTTGAAGAAGTCACTCGTATTTCAAATTCACTGCAGTAAAAATCCGTTCTTTATCCTATTGTATTTTCAAAAGATAAAAGTGAAGTGTTATATCTCAAGTTTAAGACCCTGCGATGATTGAGGTATAAACACTTGACAGATTGACGCTCCCCAATCAAACGACAAGTGAATGGTACAACCGAATAAGAACGCATTGATTAAGGTCGAGGATCTCCGAAAATATTGTTATTTCTACGATTGTGGAAAAAGTCCCCAGCAAAACTTCAATAATAAGGTTTTTTGAAGCCCAGTGTTCACAATTTAACCGGCGGAACAGATCGAGACTAAAACATTGGGGTCGAGATGATAAAAAAATCTGCGTTCAAGGCCAAAACAGAGCGAATGCATCAAATATCACTTTCAAGTGTCTATAAAGACAACAGTTTGTAGTAACATAAGAGGCTCTGTTCACTCCAAAAACAATTCTGACGAAAGTAACATTGCTTCCTTCAACCTCATCTGTTTTTTTAACCACCCTAGAAACCATCGCTGTTAGTAGTTCAAAAGGCACTTCTTCTTTTCTATCGTCTCTGACATATGAGATAGGGACACGCTTCAACGTTAATAATTAGCCATAATGCTTAAGGTTTTCATATGAAATGCGAACTATTCCCCATGACTTAACATCACCGTTCCTGAACTTTGTGTCTGTTCACAAAGCTTGCTGCATTCACATATTTCCACAGATTTAAATCAGTAAAACTACGGGTCGTTGAAACTTTGTTCTCTCCAAGTGCTATCCATCGACTGTTTTCGTTTCCGATTATGGAAAATCATAAAATTCATCAAAAATTTCTTATCCGTAAACTTCGCGTACAATGGTTAACAAGCTTCGATTTATGTCCGACTATGAACATTCGCAGGGTTAAGAAATGCCTTCTTCTAGCTTCTCCTTTGTGCTTAATAACCTTAATCAGTCGACAGATGAGCACGAACGTCTTCGTCGAACCATGGAGAGTATTATCTTGATTTTAACGGTATCGATCACTGGGGCCAGTACAGAATTAAAAAGCTAAAACATCATGGTTACTGTTACCTAGAGTTGGTATGTCACTAAGGTTCAGAATGTCTTCATTTTAATGAGTTAATATGGAATCAAAAGATGCTGATCATGAGTTCGAGTACCTGTTACAGGATGTCCTATTGTTATTTTGAGCTCGTAAATTGCAAGTAGATCAACATACCGTGCTTCAGTGACACGAGAGCAGAAACTTGTACGTAACGCGAAGTTCTTCGATTCCGGTTTATTTTTTGATTCCTTATACTTTTTATTTCTTTGAACGTTCACTCTGAACCAACCATTAATTCTTTTAACCGATTTACTTGGATTCCTTTCGGAATAATTTAAATTTGACTTGATATACTTGACTTTATGGAACGAAGAAACACATTGGAAACTAGAATTAAAAGGTCGAAGAAAAATACGGAAATGGAAGGTAAGATTCTTAAAGCTGTTTGTGATATGTACGCTGTTAATGATGAAATGAGTGCTACTGGTGTGGGTCCTGATCGACTTAGTTCTTCCAAACTCAAGTTAGGTATAGCGTTACTAAGGAAGAAGACATAACCAAAAGACTTGAATTAGAAACGTAGCCTAAGATGTTGGATTTTGAAGAGGAAGTTGATATTGTTGAATAGCATAACGACTATGAATGATACTACTACCTGAAAATGTCTAGAAGTAAATTCAGAGATATTTTCCTTGGATGAGAAGGGATCTTTACAGATCACTAGGGCTTATACGACTAAGAGATTTCCAATCGATTATGCAGAACCCCTAACCGAACAGCCGCTGAGACTGTGAAAGCATTTGAAAGATAAAACTTTTCTAAGGTTGCAAAATAATGTGGTAGAAGTCTTGATTAGGTGCGATGCTCCGAACACACACTGGGTTCTAGAACAACGTCTGGAAGATAGGCAGGTCTTGTTCCATGCATAGTGATGTGGTGAGCTACTACGAGCAGAATGATGTGTATGCACTTCAGAGTATACTTAAATTAATCGACAGAAATGCTTCATCTAAACGTATTTTATGAATATAGAAAATAAAGCTCTACGTAGTAAAAGCCCAGAATTATCAATACTTCGGCTTTTTCAATCCCGTGTAAAGTCAAATTCCCTTGGCACGACTAAATTCTTCATAATTAACGGAAGCATTGTTAACGACCCGAATACTATATGCGAACAATTCAGCAAGCACTTCTCGCAGTGCTACAAAACTGGAACTGAAAACTCCATCATTACATTTCCAATGCTGACATCCAGACATCTGTCGAAAATTGATTTTACACCCTCCAACATCATGCAGGCCATAGCTGCCCTGGAAAAGTCTTATGATGGTGGACCTGACGGGAGACCTTCATCATTTGTGAAATATGGAAGTAGAGAATTTCCACTATTTTGTTTGAAACTTTTCAATCAATTTATGGAATATGGGACCTATCCATCTGTATGGAAAACATCCCTTATCACCCCTAGATTAAAAACAAGACCACGTAGTGATATTATTAACTATAGGCCAATTAATTTGACATCCGTGCTCTCAAATACCATGGAGAAAATCATCCACAAACAGCTATTATCAGTTTTACTTTCGGCTAGTCTGATCAGCCCATCCCAACACGGGTTGATGACTAAACGCTCATGTTTCACATTGCACCTGGAGTTTTTTGATCAAATTACCCAGAGAAGAGACGTTTGTCAGTCGGTGATAATTCTTTACTTCGATTTTAGTAAGGCTTTCGGCAGTGTCTCACACAAACTTCTTCCTTAAAATCTCTCTTCATTTGGCATACGGAATTACCTTTTATCTTGGCTCAAATCTTTTTTAGAAGAATGTAGCCAAATCGTTCGCTTTGGATCTTGCTACTCTACACCTGTGAATTAACCAGTTGGGTTATACAAGGAAGTGTGATGGGTTCATCACTTTTTCTCGTTTTTATTAATGACGTGTGCTCCCTCTTACAGTATGGTAAGCCTTTCCTTTTTGCCGATGACCTGAAAGTAGTTTATTCATTCTCTTCTCCCACGAAAGAAAGCTATATCTAGCGGTAATCCAAGAAGAAATAAACAAATTATACGAGTGTACTGTTTCGTGGAATTTGCCACCTAATGTTAACGAAAGTGGATTTATTCACATTGGCCGCTATCTCAACTTAAATCTGACTATTCAAAAACGTACACTCAAACCTCTCAACACTATTTAAGATATAGCAACAGTCTGAACTTTTCTTAGCA